CAAAACAACTTGCGCGCTGAGCGCTTCCTCCTCATTGTTCTTCGCCTGCCCTCGCCTGCGTGCCCCGGAGGAGCGGGCGCGAGCTTAATGACGGCGTATGTCGCCAGGCACGTGCGGCCGCAGCCACCCAATCTCCCCGACGCGCCTCCTCCGGCCGCCCCGAGATCAAAGTGCAGCCCCGCGCTCCCGTCGGCGGCGCCAGCCCCGCGCCTGATTTCGTTAGCCCCCTCGTCCATTTATTACCACCAACCATCGGAACCGCGATTTAAGCACGGAGCCTTTACAAGCGTATTGATACTTCGATTCTAGAAGGCACTTCGCCATTCGTGGGTTCAGCAAGGAAATGGTATTTTTGAACAACATGCATTACACTTCAATACTTAGTCATTTCTTTTCTAACTGTAGAACGGGAACTACCACGATATATTTTTCATTGATTTCACCTGCATTTTCTATTACGAGAATTGCGTTCTATGACAACTCAATCGTTTATTTCAGAAACCCGTCAAACGTCAAAATACGTATTAGCGGCGGATTATTGTTCCAAAAGGATAGACACTTCGTATATTGCATATTTATATGAAAATATTCATTTTACAACTGCTTTAATAAATAAAAATATTTTGAAATCAGAAAAAAGTGTTAGACTTTTTGTCAGCTTTCGCGAAATGAATTTCTGTTTCTGAAATAAACGATTCAATTTAACTTAACAAGATTCTGGTCAAAGAAATACTGGTTTGACCTTATTAGTTATCAGCAACACTTTTAATATTTAATATAGAAAACAATTCACAAGTGTAAGAGGCGAATATATACGAATACATACGAAGAGTTCCTAATGTGCAATTTGTATTAGATTTTAGGATTTTTCCTAGAGCTCCTTTCTTCTACTTAATATCTCTGAGAGTGTTCTCTGAAAGCTTGTGCTTCTTACTTATTTTAAGTATCTATAATAGATCAAGGGACCCTGGTATTTGAAATGCAAAATGATGTTACATTAACTTCCTCACCAGGAAAGCCAAGAAATCGAAGTTAGGTCAACGCCGTTTTTTCTCTTATTCAGCTCATTAAAGAAACATTTGTATTAAGAAGTAGATTGTGCATTGAGTTTTTCCCTAATGTTATTTGCATGACAAAGAGAACGTGATTTATCATTCTGAATGTTAAAAACTGTTTTTTGATATCCGTAACGATACATCCTGATACATGATTTTCCCACAAGAAATGTTCTTGGTATTATTCTCTGTCAGTGAATCATTAATGATATCCATTCATTTAAATTTATTTAAATAAAGTAATAAGAACATTTATTTGAATACGATGTATTTTAACCACGCCTGAAAGTTTGTAAGATCTCTTAGTCATGTGTCAGCTGCAGAGCAGGTGATGTTTCAGAAGCGAGAGACGGTCAATTAATGTATCTCAAGTGCCACTGCTGGGAGAAAGCCTTTAGTAAGGGTCACTCAGTAAGAAATATTACTCAAAATGGTTTGTGACAAAAAACGACATCATCATTACTCTGGATCGTTTACGTAGCGTAACTGCGCTTTCTTCGTTCTTACACTGCTCATAAAACGCATACGCATTCTTACGTACTAGAACCTCCTTTTCTCTGATTCTAACGAGCATTGGTTACAAAAAACAATTCCTAATTGGAAACATTCGAGGTAACACAACCATCAGAATGTTCGTCAGCTTTTTCTTCACACGCGCACTCCCATTCCACTCCCATTCCGAGCCCGGCACATTTATCGTTCGGAGCTACTACACCTCCGTACATTCGCTTTTTTTCTCTCTCTCTCTCTCTCTCTCTCTCTCTCTCTCTCTCTCTCTCTCTCTCTCTCTTATTTCCTCCGAAACGGAGTGTTAGCCCAGACCGCAACGTTCAGCCTAGTCGCAGATGTACGGCTTTCCGTGACTGCCGAGCATCAGCAGAGGGCGCGGGCGCGGACAGGGCAAAAAACCAGTCGTCTCATTCCGCATTCGGCGAGCGAACAGCGACTCCCGCCGACAAGCGTAATTATTGAATTATAGAGAGCGTCTAATCCCGACGGCGGGCGCCGAGGCGGCACCGAAACGGCGCGCGACGCTCTGCGACGCCGCCCGACGCCTAGTGACGTCGAGCGACGCCGGGCGACGCGGCGGCGTCGGCAGCGGCCCTGTAAAAGTGGCCTTGTTCTCAGACAAAGGAGTAGTTAACTCCGCGGATTACAGTACACGAAGCGGGGGGAGTGACAATGTTAACCCTAACAGTCCATTAACATTTAAATAAGGCAGACAGCCAAAAACAACATAACGGCGTAGCCCGAGTACACCATTAAGAC